TTAGTTGTGATCGGGTCCCGCTTTCGCCCCCCCTCTATTGCCCAGGTCTTGACTTCAACGCGTAAAGTAAGCGATCAACTTAGGCCCACGTCCTTTTTTTTCCCCCTCCCTTCCTCAGTCCCCTCCCCCCCCCTCCACCCCCCCAAAAACCAAAAACCCGATTTCCAAATCCCAAATTCCTTCTTATTCTCCTCATCCTCCTTCCCCTCTCTTCTTCCCCTCCCCTTCCCTCATCTAATCGCGGTTGATCATCCCGCCCTTCTTTTTTAACAGCGTTTGCTTCTTTAATATTTCCTACTTGTGGCTGGACACCACCTTCTCAATACCCTTTACTTCCCTTTCCCCCACTCAAGGAATGATCAGACATCCCAACGAACTCCTGTCGTCGACACGCCTACAGAACCGGTGCGAGCTTACTCAGGGGACAATACCACCGTCAATTTCGCTCTTTCTTTAAGAGATAAACCGCACACATGGCTCCTTCCGCACCTGGGACAGCCAACTCGCCGGCTAAGAAAACATCAGCCCCAGAGAAGAAATACAAATGCCAATTTTGCAATCGCGCATTCAGCAGAAGTGAACACCGCAGTCGCCATGAGCGCTCACGTAAGATTCAGATCCTTCCCTGACGCGTCTTTTCTTCGATATCTGACAGACACGGAAAATATAGACACGAAAGAAAGACCCTTCAAGTGCTTAAAATGCCGCAGTACATTTGTCCGTCGCGATCTTCTTCTGCGACATGACCGAACTGTACACGCCAAGGACGGCGGAATCCCCCTGGTCGCAGAGGGGCGTAGACGTGGAGGAGGGGTTCAGAAAAATTCGTCTGCCCCGGCTAAGCCGTCGGTCACCATTGACCCGACGACGCTGGAGCAGATTGAAGCAAGCAGCGATGGTATGGTCGACCTTGAAACTGCAGCCATGTTGATGACAGATTTCCAACATAAGGCTGCAGCAGCGGCGACCGGTCAGGTCTCCGAGCGTTCCGAATCGCTTTCGCCAGGACGCGGCTCCTTCGAGCCCTACCTCTCGGGCAACGCCACTCTGCCTCAGATGCCTTGGGACACGCTTGTCTCCCCCGCGGAACCCGGCTCGATGCCTACTCTCGTCGATCGCCATGGCCCGGTCGGAGACGTTCTCATGTCCAACTCGCTGCCAATGTCTGGCCACTCTACCCCGAATGCTCTGTCGCCTTACCCCTCGATGACTGGCCCCGTTAGCCCGGTCAACTACCGCCGCTCCCCCGGCCCTAGTCAAGCACTGACCCTTCCCAAGGCTCCCCAGCTCGCTAATGATATGGAACGCAACTATGTAGTGGACCGAGTTCAGGGATCAGACAGCCTTGGTGCGCTTCCCGATACTTTCCAGCTTCCTTCTACGGTTGCGCTGAACCGGTATTTGTCCACCTACTTTAACTTGTACCATCCTCACTTGCCGTTCCTGCACCAGGAATCATTTAAGCCTTCCCAGGTCCCGGCACCATTGTTGCTTGCAGTTTTGTCGATTGGTGCGCTTTACACTTTCGAGCGTGAGCACGCCTTCATGCTGCATGTCGGCTCCAAGGTCCTGGTCAACCAATTCTTACAACACAAGGACAACTTCGATTCCCGCAAGTGCCCCTTGTCATTGATGCAGGCTACTTTGTTGAACATGGTATTTGAGAGCTGGAGCGGCGACCCCAAGGGCCTTGAATGGACTTGCTCGATTAAGAGTCTCTTGGCCAACATGGTCGCTGGCAACCGGTACCAGCTCAAGTTGAGGACCCAAGCCCGCCAGAATGTCCAGCCGTCGCGCGAGGAGTGGATTGAGGACGAATCGTGCCGTCGTACATACTTCGCCGTGTACATTTTCTTCGGCATGTTGACGCTCACATTCAACCACACTCCCGCCATGAGCTTCGATGAGTTCGACGACTTGGAGCTCCCATCTTCAGAGTCTCTTTGGAACTTGGACGCGACTGATGATGAGACTTGGCGCCGTGGCACCGTCTCCAGCGCCTTGACTGTGCGCGAGGCCCACGACTTCCTTTTCCAGGGTGAACAGACCCGCTACAGTGCTTTCGCTACTCGTGTTCTCATCAACGCCCTGTTCCTGCAAGTTTGGAGCCACAAGCGTAGCTTTGAGGCGCTCCAAGATGTGGTTACCGAATACAAGCTGCGCCTGGCCCTCGAGACTTGGGAGAACTCTCTCGAGGTTTGCGAACCGGAAACAATCGTGGTCCCGCTTAGCACTCCTCAGAAGGGTCACCCCTTGATCTTCAACTCGATGGCGGTCTACCGCAACACCCGCGCCCGCCTGGAAGTCGACCTTAAGTCCATCCAGGAGGCGATGCGGTACCACTCCTCATACGAGGTAGCGGCTGCCATGACCGTCGCTCGTGAGAAGGTCAAGCGGTCACAGGAGATGAACAAAGTTATCCAACAATGTTTCGAATGCATTGAGATTGCCGCTATTCAGGGTATCAATTGGGTTGCAAAGACTTCCGCTACCAACTGGAGTGTTGAGCACCCTCTCTGCGGCCTGGATCTGATGGTCATTCTGAGCCTCTGGCTCTACCGCCTGGAACATGACGATGAGCCGGCAACTGAGGCTGAATTGGCCCTCTACAACAAGGTCCGCAATCTGTTTGACGACGATGCCATCGACGCCTTTGGAAAACTCAGCTCTACCGTCGCCCGTGTATGGGGTAACATCCTAGACGGCGTGGTTGTTTGGGGGTAAGTTTATTATTTCTGCTCACCTTGATCATAAAATAACTAACCGTTTTACAGAATCACCAAGTTGATGGGCGAATCATTCAAGCTCCACTCCCAGGCCCTAGTCGGCTACGAAGATTCTCTCCGTGTTGCCAAGGATCAGCCGATCCATGCGGTGCCAACTAAGTCGCTTGCTAGCGTCGGCACTGCATACTAAATTTTCTTTTCATCAATCTCCTTGAGTTGATTTTTTTTCTTTGCCTTTTTTTTTTCGATTTCTTACTCTCATTTGTTGGACGCTTTCATTGGGACACTTCGGGATTCGGACTGGACATACCAGTGGGCAGGCGGGGTGTTGGGCTTTTCTGGAATACTTCGCCTTTTGATATCCCTCTCGGTGGTTCCTAGTCTTTTGCTTTTTTTTGTTATTTCTTTTTGCATCTTCCCTGCTTTTTCTTGCACCAGGGAGTCCAGTGTGGTGTTTCTGCTTTCCGTCTTCGACACCTGGCTGGTCCTGTGTGTACTTTCGCACTCCGTGGAGTTTGACTTTATGGTTCATACTAACCCCTAATCGTGCCCCCTCGTCCATCTGCTTTTTATGCTTTCGATACCTTTTGACATTTCATGCGTTCTCGTTTTCTGCTTTCATATTTTGCAATTTGCCTCTACTTCTTTGGTTGGTTTCCAACCGCTGTATTTGATGTTAATTGCCTGCGCGCCTTTCTACCCCGTCTTTGCTTTTAATGCTTTTTACGCTCAGCATTGCTTTGAAAATTTTCGCATTTGTTTCACCTGCACATGTTTTTATGCCGTTTCCATGTACTATACGTTATCGATGAATCACCTGGCGGGGACAACCTCTTTTCCTAAACCATTAGACACTAGGTTGTAGACTTGTAGACTTGGATTGTAGTTTGTAGCCTTGATCATTTACAGCCAGTCTGTAGTTGCAGTTGATAGGTACATAACCATCCTTCGTATCTAAACCCGAAACAGCCATGCTTTAATGCCAAAAACTACTTCCCAATAGCAACAAATAACCGATCACCAATATCTCCAATGCCAGGGACAATCATGCCCTTCTCATCAACACCCTTGTCAATACCACCAACCCAAACCTCAACCTCACTCCAAGTCCCCGCAGCACGCTTGACCCCCTCTTCCGAGGCAAGCAAGCTAAGCATAATAACCTTTTTTACACCCCAATCACGGAGCAATTGGATCGCCGCCTCGGCCGTTGCACCAGTGGCGATAACTGGGTCTAGCAACACAGCCAGGCTTGCAGCTGCGGTGTTGGTAGTTGGGTTCAGGGAGGCTGGTGAGGCCGGCGACAGCTCCGACCGGTGGAAGGGGAGGTTGTTGTAATATTCTACGGGTTGGAGAGAGACCTTTTCGCGGAACAGACCCAGGTGGTAGACTGGGACTGGAGTTGGGAGGAGGTCGTTTAAGGCTGGGGGTTGTGTAAGCGGGGTTTAGGTACACGGGTTAGGAGTGGGGGATAAGGCTAGGGAGTGGGGGGAGGGGAATGGTGATAGAAGGAGATAAGCTGTACATGGAGCTGGAATTATAACTGGGGGTGTTTTGGATTGGATATGGGAATGCGAATTAGGGAATAAAAGAGTAATAGGGTAACATTGCAGGAAATAATATGGGTTACAGTTGTAGGGCTGGTTTGAGGGGGTTGGTTATGCGGAATAGATTGAATCACTTACCATCAACCATTCCTAGGCCAGAGCGGAGGATTGGCACTAATGCTAGGTCTGCTGGGTCAATGCCCTGGGTTTCATACTCGATTCCGAGGGGGGTGGTATCCTGAGAATCAGTGTTAGGAGATCTAGTGCTAGCGTTTGATGGATGCTCAGTCTTGGGGGATCTATTTACCGTTCCTGTCTTGACTACCTTCAACCCTGAGAAGGCTTCCACGCCTAGAATGTTGGCAAGGTCATGGACCAAGCCTCTTGTCTCGCGCGGGGTGGTGGAAGATGAGCGGATTAGGGAGAGTTTGGCTTGGAGGCAAGGGTGAGAGGAGACGTGGACATTTGATGGGAGAGACATGGTGAAGTGTAGAAGATGTTATGAAGAGGAGAGAAAGAGAGAAGAAGTAGAAGAGGTAGAAGAAGAAGAAGAAGAAGAAGAAGAGGAAGAGGAGTAAAGCGAAGTAAAGTAACCAGCTCCTTCCAAGGTTGTTATCTCCTTCCCCTCATATACACTTGGGCGCTAACCTTATCGGACTCCACCTGATCTCCCGGTTTTCTTGGCAGACTTTTCCCTTTATCCTCTTCTTTTAACCCTTGAACGGCAATGCTTCCAACTACCGAAGACGACCCCTCAAAACACAGTTACCCTTTAAGAGAGTCCCAATCAAACCCAAATGAATCATGGCCAAGCTCGGGTGACCACGCAGCACCTGCACCACATGCATCTGCTGCGCCGCCACTCTCCAAACACGCAACGCACATCTACACCGTCTCCTATTTAATCTTCTTCTCGCTTCTGGGCACACTAGCTCGCCTAGGTTTACAGGCACTAACATTCTACACAGGCGCCCCCGTCGTAACAGGGGTGCTATGGGCGAATGTAGGCGGAAGCCTGATAATGGGCTTTCTTAGCGAAGACCAGAAGCTATTCCGCGAAGAATGGGGTAAAAAACCAGCCAAAGAACCAGCTACAGACGAAGTCGAAGACGACCCCAAAGCCAAGAATAAGAAACACCTAGCTGCGAAGAAAACCATCCCACTGTATATTGGTCTGACGACCGGGTTCTGCGGCTGCTTCACCTCCTTCTCGTCCTTTATGCGGGACGTCTTCCTCGCTCTGGCAAATGCACTCCCCGATCCGTCGCTGCCTACCGGATCCCACCCTGCCTCCCGTAATGGTGGATATAGCTTCATGGCGTTGGTCGCTGTGATCCTACTTACTGTGTCGCTGAGCCTGTCGGCGCTTATCGCCGGCGCGCATCTTGCCCTGGCTGTGGCGCGCGTAACACCCACCGTCCCCTTCGCGTTCACGCGACGTGTTCTCGACCGTGTGGTCGTCGTGCTTGCCTTCGGATGTTGGCTCGGAGCCGTGTTCCTGGCTATCTGGCCGCCAGACCGACATAGTGGTTCGGATGTGTGGCGCGGCCGGGCGGTATTCGCTCTTGTCTTTGCGCCGCTTGGTTGTCTTCTTCGGTTCTATGCCTCGTTGCATCTGAATAGTAGGATTCCGACTTTCCCGCTCGGCACGTTCACGGTTAATATTTTTGGGACTATCATTGAGGGTCTTTGTTATGACTTGCAGCATGTTAGTGGTCTTGGAGCGGTGGTTCCTGCTGCGATGACGGGTTGCCAGGTGCTGCAAGGTGTTATGGATGGATTCTGCGGGAGCACAACTACTATTAGTACTTGGGTTGCTGAGTTGAAAGGACTGGCTCATCGGCGCCATGCGTATTTGTATGGAAGTGCCAGTGTGCTTGTCGCGCTTGGGTTTTTGGTCGTTATCATGGGCTCGTTGTTGTGGACCCGTGGGTTTGCTGAGCCTGTATGTGGATAGATAACTGGTGGTGTATGATATAATGGACAATATAGCCCAAAGCATTCAAAATGGCAACTATATGAGAAAGACTAGAATGGCCAATCGACATGAATAATCCTATAGACAATATCATAATTACCTCAAAGCGCTAACGCCAACCCAACGCCATAATTCCATCCTTGCCCTCCATCCCATACAACATAACCTATATCACCATAAGCCAACTCTACTCCCGACTAGGCGCAGGTCCAATCTCAACAGACGGACCAATCCCACCCCCAAACCTATCAACACGCAAAGGACTCTGATTCAGACCCCTCCCTCCCTTCAACGCCATCCCGACAATACAAGAACTAACAGCTTTTGGCCCAGCCCCGCCACTCCCAAGCGGACTGACAGGGCCAGCAGTGCTCGGCGGCGTAGACCGACTAAACGGACTCCTGATGTGCGATGTGATCGTACACCCCTTCCTAGCTGGATACATCTCCATCCCGTGGACTGGCAGCTCAGCGCGGTTCTCGGGCATACCGATGCGGTCGAACGTTTTTTCTTGAACACCTGCTTTGGTTGTGTCATCGCTTGGACTTTGGCTTCGACCTACTGTTACAGAGGTTGTTGTTCCCAGGAATGGTTGGGTTGGGTTTTTGCTGCGGAAGGATTTGTGGCGGGTGAGGTCTTGGGCGTCTAGGCGGGTTTGGTATACTGGGGTTGGTTGTTAGGGGAATAATATAAGGTTGCTCATGATTGGTTTTTATGTTGGAATGAGATTCAAGATGTAGGTATGTATTTGAGTTGAACTCATAGACTGACTTGTAGATCTTCGTGTTGATATAGATATATGAAGGGAGGAGGATAACTCACCACGCCAGAGAGCAATGTATGCGCCTACAACCACTATGCAGAGAGACAAGAAGCCGAACATCAGTCCTAGCTCGTGGCGGAGTGAGGGCATCGGTACGTAGGGTGGGTATTTGTCTGAAGCCATGACGAGGGTTGGGTCTGTAGTAGAGCTGCAGTTGTCTTTGGTGTCAAGTGTAGTAAGGGTATACGTCCACTTCTATGGACGGGAAGGATCTCTCTTTCTAATAGTATTTCGAAGATGGAGCTCGAAGAGAGGAAATCAAAGAGCGATTGTCAATGTGGGGTGTAGAGTAGAAATCTGATAGCTCTCTGCGTTTGGTGGGTTGCTTGCTCACCTGCAATCAAATGAAAAGAGAAACAAAGGGAGGTCTTATTTTCAAACGCAAAACTTCCTTTGAGGGCGAAATTCTGATTTTCGAGTAACAAAGAAAGTCATCCCTGAGCCCGAGTCTCACCATGAAAGAGGCGCGGACTAACGAAAATCGAGTCTGAAAGAAAAGCAAGAAAAGCAAGAAAAGCGATAAAAGTAAGCGTACAGTCAGTTCGTATTGGCCATATCTATATATACTAATTAAGTAAATCCGATGTACTCCGTACACACGGGAGAATCTGCAAAACAAAAAGGTATCATGTACAACATGCATACAACATGCAACTCTATACTCCCGACAGTACCCAGTACATATAGTACACTGGCATGCTGGGGAATGCAATAGAAAAAAAGGGGGAGCTCAAATATCCGATCCCACGCCAGAACACAAGGCCATGGATGCAAAAATAAACAAAATGGGTAAAAATCCGCTGCAAAAGACCGTAAGAAAATGAAGAAGATGAAGGGTCGCAGAAGTATGTCAAGCGGAGTAAAAGATAAACAAAGTTCGAGCGGTGCCCGGCGTTTCACGTGTCGTAGAGAAAAAGAAGTAGGTCAAGGCGGGGGGGGAAAAGGTATATGTATGGAGAGTCGAAAGTCGCGAGAGTCGATAGTCGAAAGAATCTCAAGCCGGGGTTTCGTTTCAAAGCAATGCATGTCAACAATCACCCGAGCATCACAGCCGCCAGAGCAGTAAAGGTCAGTCCGATAGCCATGCCAATCCACGGAGTCTGACCGAGGGAACCCTCACTGCGCGCCTGGAGGACATAGCGAGCAGCGAGCAAGCGCATCTCATCAGACGGCAGGTCGCGATCCGCAAACGGAGCGAACTGTTCCCGCGGAGCGAATTCTGGTAATGAAACGGCGGGTGAGTTGTGCGCGAGTTCTGAGGAGAGGCTGGCGCCCCCAGCGGGTTGTTGTGAGTCGGCGAGGACGGCGGCCGGGGCGAGGAAGGCCAGGAAGGTGGAGGGTTTCATTGTGAGGAACTTGGAGGTGTATAGTGTTGTATAGTATGGGAATGGACTGGCGCGCAAATACTTTGCGTTGTTACCTATGAGGAACAAGCAACGCCAAGGTGGTTGGTGCGGGTCGTGGGGGACGGGGTGTCCGGAGTTGGCAAGGCAACAGTGGTGCAGATGGAGGTGGAGAAGAGGTTGGGAGTGACGATATTACTCTGAATCCCTTCACAAATATAAGAGGATGTCTCAGAACATGCCACTTAAGTTCGAGTGGGTTGCTGTGTTGGATTTGTCGCAGTCAGGCAACCGGGGAAATAGGGGGCTAAACACGGGGTGGATGTTTCCGGCGTTTTCGCTTTTCCTCTCTCACAATTGTCAGAATCCAACTCACTCTTAGTCGTAGAGGAGGATTGAAAGAGAAAAAGAAGAATGAAAAAGCCCCCAAAAAACAGAAACAACCCAGGGGGAAAGAGGGAGATTAAGGGAAAATCAAGATGAAGCCAGTCAAGGCGAGGGCTTGATTGGCCGAGCCGCTCTTTTGTTTCCTTTGGCTCTCTTTGGCTCTAAGTCCCTGCCGTCCATGGGTGGGGGGACCTGTCCCTGGATTCTGCGGGTTTTGATTGGCTACCGAGATTCCTGTGTTTGAGGTTATCCAGTGTTTATTTATCCTTTAATATCCTTTAAATGGTGTGCTGTTAGGGTGATTCAATAATTTCATACTCTACCTAGGTATGGAGTATAGTATGCACATATAGCATAGTCCACACTTTAAATACAATAAAATCACATCCCATTTTAGGTTCTAATTATAGCTCTAAGACATCCCGAGGCTTAACGGACAGCGCCACAAATGATCGTCAACGCAGACGCGAAATTTGAGCGAATAGACGAGCACGCCCCCCGCAGGTAAGATGACGACGCGCATACAGCATATATAGGCAGGCGATACCAAAATCAAGATATTTTGAACCCTTGTCCTTGGCATCGACCAGATCAAAGGATATGGACCATCGATTTTTTTCAGTGGATAGAGTCCTGGGCACACGCTGCCTCGCACTGGTAGCAATCCAGTCGATCAGCCTTGATATCCGCTCTAATGCACACCCGGGCTTTTACTCATGCTGCCCCAGCGCAAAAATACCCCCGGCCTAAAACAGAGCCGTTGGGATCAAAATTCCCAGGTTCAGGGGCCCGAAATGTGTTCTTCGGTTTTGCAGTGCGCGCAAGTATTTGCAGGGCTGTGTGTAGGTGTATCTGTTAATGTAGCTTCTCTGTCCTGCAGAGAGACCGGGGACCGGGACTCTTTAGACTGACTGGCCTGAAGGTTTTTCAGCCTGACCTGCTCTCGCGATCTGCGCACCGCAAGGCGAATATCGCTAGGTAGGGAATCGGTTTGCATTAAACAATCCGCACAGGCACGGCAGTAATATCCAGAGTGGGGGTTCTTCGCTTCAACGAGTCGGCGCTTGCTGCTGGGGGCGGTTATCTCACCGCAGTGGACACATGGGCTTTTCAAGACTCGGGGATTGCTTTGCATGCGGGTAGCTCTGAGCTTTCTGAGCGCTGCAATTTTGACGGCACTTGGCAACGAGTCTGTATCAAGTAGGGACCGCGTGCATGGTTGGCAGTAGTAACCTGCCGCAGGATTCTGGGGCTCAACGAGCCTGCGTTTGCTGCTGGAAATGGTTATGTCGCCACAGTGCATGCAGGGGTATTCGCCGCGGCTCTGTTTCATCTGTTTGGGAGACTTGGGATCACTGGAGGAACTGGAAAGGCGGTGGGTTGTGGGTTGTCCCTTTGGATCGCCCGATGCATTACTTTTTGAGGCAGTATCAGTCCGCCTACTTCGTATGTTTTTGCGGTACTGGAAAGCCGCGAGATCTAACTCGGTTGGGAGGCTGCCGTGATGATTGAAATGGCGAACGCATGTCCGGCAGTGAAAGCCAGCTGAAGGGTTATTCGCATCAATGAATTTTCGGCTACTCCTCGGAACAGTAATCGCGCCGCAGTGCCTGCATGGACTTGTCCTGCTTGCCTCTCCGCTTGCCCTGATCCGTTTTCGCCGATTAATCGCTGCAAGCTGCTCCTCGTTTGGCAGATGACCATGGGCAAGGATGTTCCGAATGCATGCTTTGCAGTGCCAGCCGCTGGAATGTTTGCCAGGCTCGACATGCCTTCTAGCCTTAGGGACAGTTTTTCCACCGCAGTGCTCGCAGAGCTCTAGATCTTTAGCCGCAGAAGTCTCATGACGGCATTGCTGAGTCCATGGCCCCTTGCCATTGTCATAGAGAGTGCGTGCAGGTCTCAGGAGATCACCGAGTAAGCCCCGTAACGAAAACGAAGCTTTGTTGGTATGGTGTGGACTTGCCGAAGACCAGCGATGTGTGCAATGGGTGTCGCGTGATTGAGAGAAGGATCTTAGGTGTTGTATTATATTATGTCTTGTTGGGGTTCCATTGCGGAAGAGTTGCGCATAGGATAGGTTGCATTGATATCCGAGGGGACGCAACGACATGGCGAAGGTTCGTGTAGCACCGGAAACACTCGATTTGGCCTATGCAGGCATTGTAGAGGGAATTTGCGCAGTTGGATTGGGCCAGCTTATGGCTTGTGCTCGACTATAATTGCTTTTGGGCATGGAGGATGTAATAGTGATCAAATGCTCTGAATTCGACACGCGCAAACAAAGTTCGTAGCTTGGCCAGGGCAGATAACTAGGTCTTGGCATGTCTAGTGCCTTAATTGTCAGGCCTATATAAAAATTACTAAGCTCGATAACTGCCCAGGTGGCCATGGGAAAGTTTTAGAACACAAGGGAAGAAATAGAACGTGCAAAGCATTAGATATCAAAGTGAGACTAAAGGGGAAAATAAGAAGAGAAAGGCGAACAGCTTTGTGTACTGAAGTCCTGCATGCGTCTCTTTGATATTCACTATATAATTTATCAGACTCCAGTCTAACTACATGTAGTTTGAGTCATTGCGAAGTTAATCCACAATCAAAAGGATTGCTACAGTAAGTTCGCTTGAATTTCTTTCCATTCATCATAAGGTCTGTTGGGTATAGGATTCAAAGCATCTCATCCCAGTTCGGCGTGACTGTGAACTTGCCAGACAATTGGCCCATAGACCAAACATGTTTTGGCGTATCCTCCTCCGGCTCGGGTGGCACCTTTGACAAGATGACGGCTTCCTGGACGAAACCAACCGGTGCTCCACGATCCAATTCCATACTGATTCCACCCCAGTCTAGGGTCACACGGCCTGACTGGTGCACGTTTAATTTGCCGACACGGCCTGTAGGCAGAGACCATGGTTGGCCGGCTGTGATGACGCTGTTTTCTTTTGATTCAGTTGGTTGGGTGTTATCAACAATCTCCACGTCATCGCCTGCTTCGCGCTTGATCTCATTCTGGGGAGGTGCAGTTGCGGCTGCGGCTGCAGCTTGGGGTTGGTTGTCTTGGGCAGAACCAGCGACTCTGAGGTAGGGGGTCATCGGCGGGAATTGCATGAGGAACATTTGGCCATGCAGAGGGTTGTCTTCTTCCTGTTCCTCTTCCTTCTCTTCGCTTGCCTGGTCACCTTCCTGTCCTTCCGCTGCAGCGGGTTTATCTTCGGCGGCTCCTTCAGTGGTTTCTGCTTCCGTGGCGGCCTTCTTTGGCTCCTTGGGAACAAGAAGATCCCTGATAATAGCCAAATCTTCCATATGTCGGTCATATTCATCAATCTCCTCTTTGGTGTGAAGCAGGCTGCGTGGGTCTGGGATCTCGGGCTCAGGCGTGGGTTGAGTCGATCG